ACTGGATTTTGTTGGCCCAGGACAGGGTCCGGTGGAGGGCTTTGGTTAATTCGGTGATGGACCTTCGGGTTCGGTAAGCCATCTAGTTAGTCAATAGCTCAAATATATAGCACTGAATGATAGGTTAAATAATTAAAAATGAAATGTCTAGAATATAGAAGGAAGTGGATGTGGCCCTATTTTAAGGTACTATCCTGGAATTTGCCTAGAAAGACTGAGAAAAAATCTCAACTGAACGAGTGTCTCCAGGCCTAGATATGAAAACAGAGCTGCCTGAAGACAGGAGAGGTGCTACCAAACATGTAGCCATGCCAAAGCTAGCCTCTCCTAACATAGAGTATAGGAAATTGCTCTTCATATCAGCGATGCATATTATGTTGTTTTAAATTACACTTTGTTAGGTTAGGCTAGCTTTGATTAGGTTACTTTATGGTAATATACTAAGTTCAGAACTGTGGCAGGTTTTCAGCACAGCCAGTCTCACTCCTGTTGTGCTGCTGTAGACAACAACTTTACCGTATATTTTTATAAAGATGACAAATCTAACCTCAATTCTATTTTACATAAATGTTGGCCCTGATTTTTGCCATAACATTGTTAAACTGGAATACCACAAATTGTATTTTTTGAAACTAACCAATCATACTTTAGAGTGTTATTCTGAACGTGGTATTTGTGTATATATTTATTATCAACTTTACAGCCATTCACAGGCACATAAACTTGAACCAAACATATTACTGTACTTACGAAGTAAGCTGCTTGCCGTAGTTCAAGTCACTGTGATAAAATAAGCACTGACTTGTCGTAATCATCGACGGTATTTCAGACCCTAAGAACACTCAGCACTCTTTCTTTTCTATTACTCAATTACAAGACAACGAGGTAAATGTTCTCTGATATATTCAAATAATTCCCGCGAGACCCCTGGGCAGTTCGTAAGTTCCAATTCTTGCAGATGGCGGAGTTGGATTAGACTTGAGAGTCCACTAGATGTCAGGAGAGGGCAACCTGGAAAGAGACGAATACCAACCTACCAAAAAAAGTGATTGCAAGTGCATAGCTTTGAGGTGAAGTTTAATATTCACACCTTCTGCAACAAATCGTGTTCTTATTGTTTAACTACATTCGTCGATTCAATTTAGTTTTGTGAAACAGAGAATCCAAATCGATATCTTCTGAAATGGCTGAATAATTAGTAACATTGAAGTAGGCCATGCCAAAGTGGTTTGAATTGGCCGTGCCACACAACATAATTAATCAATAATATGAAAACGGTAATGTTGAAAGTTTGACGCCATTCCCTCTAACTTTGGCAATAACAATGGTTCAGTGGAAAAGCTTGTTTCAGCTGACACGACATCCTTCCGTGTCTGATTTCGAGATTGGAGGGAACAAGAAGCGTTTACTGACACATGCATCATGTACCTAGATATTACACAAAAAACATCCCACTGCATCTAACCATGGTTTTAACAGCTGCACCACAATACTAAAATGCCTCAGGCAGTCAACTGTACTCCACAATTACTACGCCTTGTCAAAATGCTTATATTAAAATATTCTCTGTGTACAAATACATAATCGTGGACTTACATAAAAAGAGTTAAACATATACCTTCACGTTTTACCATTTCCTGGGTAGAATTCGATGGTAAATTCCCTTTCCATAAAGGCTGATCTCCAACTACTTTAAGAACAACAGTTTTGGGGTGAATTACACCTCTTCCATAAAACAACTTCCTCTATTAGTCCAGAGATTTCTAAACTGTGTGGCTTGATTAATCGCGACACGTTTGTCGGATAGCAATAAATTTAAACCGGCAACAAAGAATCTGTAACTAAATCTACTGTAAGTAAAACGGACTACAGGTTGCAAAGAGGCAAGGAGGTTCACTTTCTTACTTGGTTGGAGGATATATCTGCAGTCAGAAAATGATTTTTTTTCCTGCAAAGTGGAAAGGCTTTAAGTAACTGAACTTGCTTTCCTGTAAAATAAATAACTTTCGTTTCTGTACCTGTGCATCATTTATCTTGAAGATTTATGTGTACCACATTGTCTACATGTGTATGGGTTGGTTTCTGCTCGTTCAAATTAGACCGTAGTACTTACCTGCAAGTGACAAAACCTGGAGATTTCTCATACCACAGAGATGCTGCAGCCCGAAGTCACGAACCTGGGAGCACCATCGGAGGAACAGAGCTGACAGGGATAGCATGGTGGATATATAACCGACGCCAATGTCAGTTATATGGACACACCTGGATGACAGAGGCAGACATGACTTCTGAATACTTCAAAGACAGCGAGAGTTCAAATTATGACCTTCAAGATATTGATATCCTGTAGACTTGTAGTCAGTTACCGACTTTTCAGAGGAACCTGGTGTTTCAATCTTCAGGATATGTAAAGATGCAGCAAATTCCTCCGAATTTAGTGATTTCCTACAAGACTACATCATGTCACGATCCGGAACATCGCAGTCTCAGGAGGCAAACATGTAACATGGGATGGTGCTTATAAAGATGACAGCCTTCTGGATTACTGTGCCGTGTACTCTGATGACGGAGGCAGTAAGCATCTCCAAAACGTCGGTCAACTTCTACGAGACTACACGGCGCAATATCCTAGAAGACTGCCATCTTCAATTATTTCCTTATCTTGCTCCAGCATAATTTGTTTTCATAAGTGAAATGGTAAATCGTTTCTGGAATCTGTCGTAAATCTGTTAGCACTCAAGTTTAATATTCAAGGGGTTCCGAATCTGATCCCGGCCGTTGGCACTAATGTAAAATAAAGTCAATATAACAACCAGTCACACGATGAGAGAACATCCAACTCCTGATAATTGTGTTTATCAAACTAACCTCAGAAAATATACAATGCCTAACGTAATTAACTATAGCGTACCAGCGAAGTATTTAACGAAATGAACAATCGGCCGAATACGTGGGCAGCTACAAATGGAGTACACTTTCATCTGTAGTCAGAAATTAAATCTACATAATACTATATAATTTGTTTTATTTTAACATTTACTGCAGTTTAAGGTGCCAGACACTTTTGAAACAAAAACAGAAAGACTGAGAAAAAATCTCAACTGAACGAGTGTCTCCAGGCCTAGATATGAAAACAGAGCTGCCTGAAGACAGGAGAGGTGCTACCAAACATGTAGCCATGCCAAAGCTAGCCTCTCCTAACATAGAGTATAGGAAATTGCTCTTCATATCAGCGATGCATATTATGTTGTTTTAAATTACACTTTGTTAGGTTAGGCTAGCTTTGATTAGGTTACTTTATGGTAATATACTAAGTTCAGAACTGTGGCAGGTTTTCAGCACAGCCAGTCTCACTCCTGTTGTGCTGCTGTAGACAACAACTTTACCGTATATTTTTATAAAGATGACAAATCTAACCTCAATTCTATTTTACATAAATGTTGGCCCTGATTTTTGCCATAACATTGTTAAACTGGAATACCACAAATTGTATTTTTTGAAACTAACCAATCATACTTTAGAGTGTTATTCTGAACGTGGTATTTGTGTATATATTTATTATCAACTTTACAGCCATTCACAGGCACATAAACTTGAACCAAACATATTACTGTACTTACGAAGTAAGCTGCTTGCCGTAGTTCAAGTCACTGTGATAAAATAAGCACTGACTTGTCGTAATCATCGACGGTATTTCAGACCCTAAGAACACTCAGCACTCTTTCTTTTCTATTACTCAATTACAAGACAACGAGGTAAATGTTCTCTGATATATTCAAATAATTCCCGCGAGACCCCTGGGCAGTTCGTAAGTTCCAATTCTTGCAGATGGCGGAGTTGGATTAGACTTGAGAGTCCACTAGATGTCAGGAGAGGGCAACCTGGAAAGAGACGAATACCAACCTACCAAAAAAAGTGATTGCAAGTGCATAGCTTTGAGGTGAAGTTTAATATTCACACCTTCTGCAACAAATCGTGTTCTTATTGTTTAACTACATTCGTCGATTCAATTTAGTTTTGTGAAACAGAGAATCCAAATCGATATCTTCTGAAATGGCTGAATAATTAGTAACATTGAAGTAGGCCATGCCAAAGTGGTTTGAATTGGCCGTGCCACACAACATAATTAATCAATAATATGAAAACGGTAATGTTGAAAGTTTGACGCCATTCCCTCTAACTTTGGCAATAACAATGGTTCAGTGGAAAAGCTTGTTTCAGCTGACACGACATCCTTCCGTGTCTGATTTCGAGATTGGAGGGAACAAGAAGCGTTTACTGACACATGCATCATGTACCTAGATATTACACAAAAAACATCCCACTGCATCTAACCATGGTTTTAACAGCTGCACCACAATACTAAAATGCCTCAGGCAGTCAACTGTACTCCACAATTACTACGCCTTGTCAAAATGCTTATATTAAAATATTCTCTGTGTACAAATACATAATCGTGGACTTACATAAAAAGAGTTAAACATATACCTTCACGTTTTACCATTTCCTGGGTAGAATTCGATGGTAAATTCCCTTTCCATAAAGGCTGATCTCCAACTACTTTAAGAACAACAGTTTTGGGGTGAATTACACCTCTTCCATAAAACAACTTCCTCTATTAGTCCAGAGATTTCTAAACTGTGTGGCTTGATTAATCGCGACACGTTTGTCGGATAGCAATAAATTTAAACCGGCAACAAAGAATCTGTAACTAAATCTACTGTAAGTAAAACGGACTACAGGTTGCAAAGAGGCAAGGAGGTTCACTTTCTTACTTGGTTGGAGGATATATCTGCAGTCAGAAAATGATTTTTTTTCCTGCAAAGTGGAAAGGCTTTAAGTAACTGAACTTGCTTTCCTGTAAAATAAATAACTTTCGTTTCTGTACCTGTGCATCATTTATCTTGAAGATTTATGTGTACCACATTGTCTACATGTGTATGGGTTGGTTTCTGCTCGTTCAAATTAGACCGTAGTACTTACCTGCAAGTGACAAAACCTGGAGATTTCTCATACCACAGAGATGCTGCAGCCCGAAGTCACGAACCTGGGAGCACCATCGGAGGAACAGAGCTGACAGGGATAGCATGGTGGATATATAACCGACGCCAATGTCAGTTATATGGACACACCTGGATGACAGAGGCAGACATGACTTCTGAATACTTCAAAGACAGCGAGAGTTCAAATTATGACCTTCAAGATATTGATATCCTGTAGACTTGTAGTCAGTTACCGACTTTTCAGAGGAACCTGGTGTTTCAATCTTCAGGATATGTAAAGATGCAGCAAATTCCTCCGAATTTAGTGATTTCCTACAAGACTACATCATGTCACGATCCGGAACATCGCAGTCTCAGGAGGCAAACATGTAACATGGGATGGTGCTTATAAAGATGACAGCCTTCTGGATTACTGTGCCGTGTACTCTGATGACGGAGGCAGTAAGCATCTCCAAAACGTCGGTCAACTTCTACGAGACTACACGGCGCAATATCCTAGAAGACTGCCATCTTCAATTATTTCCTTATCTTGCTCCAGCATAATTTGTTTTCATAAGTGAAATGGTAAATCGTTTCTGGAATCTGTCGTAAATCTGTTAGCACTCAAGTTTAATATTCAAGGGGTTCCGAATCTGATCCCGGCCGTTGGCACTAATGTAAAATAAAGTCAATATAACAACCAGTCACACGATGAGAGAACATCCAACTCCTGATAATTGTGTTTATCAAACTAACCTCAGAAAATATACAATGCCTAACGTAATTAACTATAGCGTACCAGCGAAGTATTTAACGAAATGAACAATCGGCCGAATACGTGGGCAGCTACAAATGGAGTACACTTTCATCTGTAGTCAGAAATTAAATCTACATAATACTATATAATTTGTTTTATTTTAACATTTACTGCAGTTTAAGGTGCCAGACACTTTTGAAACAAAAACTGTTGAAGATCCCAGATAACTTTATGTTAATCCTGAAACATGAATAACAATGCAATGTTATTAGATTGGACGCTTAGCATGTCGTAAATTACTTTACTATCGTATGTCAAGAATATGCACGTTACCATGTGAACAAATGTTACTAAATACGTAAAGTATTGTCAATACCAAGGACTGTAATAATGGCCTACTTCTAAATAAAGCGAAAATGGACAAACAATAACCCGGTGATCGAGGTACAGGATTCCATACTTTAAACTCGAAAATAACCATGATGAGAAAAATTACGTATCATACGCGATGAAAAACAGACAATATCAGTGCCCTGAGTAGTTTCCACACGCGTCACCGAGCGAGGCAGACCGCAATTATACGCTTTAATGGCAATCAGCGCTGTGGCTAGCAAATTTATACTTCCTACTATTAAATCCTCAAGCGTTAAGTTTCATAAACCTCATTATACACATCGAATACTGCAATGAATTTACAAATAGCTCAAATGTGACAGGGGGCAAGAGGTTAAAAGTGTATTTAACTTATTTGCCACGCAAACTAGTAAACTTGAAAGTTAAAATAAGTAATTGATTCTTCTTCAAAATCTAATGGTCGTCCAGCGACAGAGTAAGTCTCACACCCATACAAAACAACAGGTAAAATGAGATTTATGGTTTCTCTTGCGACGCTGTCGATTACTGAGATTATACAGCGTCGAATAACGAACGAACAACGAAATGTTGAGTGGAAGAAAGCGGCGCGGTGGCTTAATTTAAGGGGCCATTCGGAATTTGTTCGGTGTGAGAGGGCACCACGAACCTCAACAAGAACAGCCGATAAGTGGGCCGAGACACGAAGCCTGGAATTGCCGAATACGAAGCAGGAGTGCCAAAACTAGATCGCAACAATCGGCGGTAAAATATATTTTTAAATATTTTAACATTTGTTTTTCAGATAGAAGACTTGAAGTCAAGAGATGCTGATTGAAAGATTCTCATTCAGAAATTGTTAAATTTTACAACGAAAGACGTACGCGATGTGCAAACTGCTGAGAGTGCGATTATAATCTGTGGCTAACCTCGTCTGTTGAGCACAGACCACAGACCATTTCCGGCAAGACTGCCACAACGTGACTGATTATCCGATCTGGAAGGAGAAGACTCCAGGAGGGAGGTCTCTGAATTTCTGCAGGTAGAAGTAAATGAAGCTTAAATCATATTAACGATTCTCTCTATGCACATAAGCTACGGACACAGAGAAACACCGTGCTTCCTACTATAGACGGTAGACAGAACAGCATCTTTGACAGTCTGAAAGCCCCCTCCCCCCATCTTCCCTCTTCCCATCGATCGTCTTACACAGGCACAGGAAGTCCCACTTTTAATGATCGCATTTAATTAATTTTGATTATAGAAGCCGTGTTTTGTTACAGACGAGTCGAAGACAAGTCTAAAGCGAAGCAACCAGGTCCAGACGTACTCAGGGATAAACCTATTTTACTATTAACCAGCTCCAACGAGCAGTGTCTCTCCTGAGAAGCTAACAGTCGCTCAACTGTTCAAGGGATTCTCAGACGTTTATGGTTTATTACCGTGTTCACTCAGCTATCATGAAACAGACCAATCCAGTGCCACACTCATGTGCGCTGCACCCAAGGGACTTTTAAATCACTTTCTGTTTCTAAGACGTGTTTTTACAGATGTGCAGACTCTGTATTTTTCTCGTAACATGGATGCGACTAGTTCTATACGAACTAAAATGTTGTCATTTGCTTAGTTCTGATTTTAAGTAACGAACAGGATACAAGACATCCCGAAAAATTACAATAAATTCAAGTTCAGATGTGATACTTTACAATAATTAAGTATAAGATAAAAACAGGTTTCTTATTAAGATTCTTAATTCCTTTCGGATTATCGAGAGGTTTAAATCCAAGCAGCTAGGACAAAAATAGTTCATACAAACGACAGAATTCGAATTTGACCACGGAGGAATTACTACAAGTTTTATGCGATGGTAAATGCGGTTATCTTAGACATACTGTATTTTGTATAACACGGATAAGGAACAAACAAATCATCTACTACATTACATTATCTAATCGTGACAAACGGTAAACATTTCTTTAAACCGAACGCATTGTTTCAAATCCACGGTTCTAGGAACCCGACTATCACAAGTTTTCACTCAAGATTCCCCGTTCTTCAATATGTCTATTTTCTCCAAAATTTATTTCACTGCTTACAAAATCTCAAGACGTACTTAAGTTTACAACAAGACTATACTGAATTCAAAACTGGAAAAAAGAATCTCGTAGGCAAATAAGTAGGTTTCTTTTTATATGGTAAGCGGATAAAAACAAATTTATTTGTGTGAATAAAACATGCAGAGGGCTTTGATATCTTATTTCTCTAGTCCAACCTTGCATCAAGCTTCATTCGTGAAGAGATAAGCCGACACAAAAAAAAATAGCACGGGGCTGAGACTCATGGGGTGGTGAACGCCATTTCAAATCTTGCTAACTGTACAATACGGTCACCATAGCAACCCCCCTTACATGAAGGGTGGGATGGGATTTGTGTGCAGAACATTATAGCAATAATTATTGATGTGATGTATAACGACAAAGCGCAAACTCTTGATTCGTGTTTGAATAGCCATCGGCGTTCAAATGAAACAGGCGGAACTCAAGACCAACATTTGTGGTTACACGTGTCCTCTATAGGGAATGATTTTCAGCAAGAATATAACGGGAAATATAGATTCGTCATCGGAAATAACAGTCTGTGTCGTTCTTAAGAATGAATATATGAGGATATTTTAAATTAATTTTATCTTACGTGTATGTGATTATGCGACAATAGCTCGAAAAATTTGTACAAATTCTGGCACAAAAATGTAGTTTGCTCATTGAAAACTGTCGAAATTCTTAAAACAACACGTCCAATGGGTTTTCTTGACTCTAACAACTTCGCCATTCTCGTGTAATTCACACCGGCCTTCTGTAGTTCTTCTACCTGCAAGCTTCCCTTGTCCATTAACACGGATACCAACAAACAAACTTTCTCTTCCTCGTTTTATTATTGCGCTGATTTCCCAAATACTTGTTCATATTGCCGGAAGACATTGCCAGGATTTCTCACAAACATTTTTCTTACAGAAAACAGCAAAGCTGCAAGACATATTTGTTACCGCGGTTTAATGCATGGGTGGCGAATTATTTTTGCTTAGGGACTAGACCGATTTATTTAAAAGTGACTGCAATCCATAGAACCTCGTGAGATAAATTCTGCGAAAAAGATGTTTAAATAACCACCATATTTATCCCCATAGAGTGAAGATACTTTGTTCTCGTGCTGAAGGTCTACGCTCAAATCACCAGGTCTCCAGTTTCTTCAGGTTCCTACTGGTACATATTCATCCGGTTCGTATAATCACAGACCTATGAAACGTGTAATACATTACATATTATTTTATTTCATTAATAGCGCAGCTAACATAACCTATTTAAATAAGATAAATACTTCTAATCCTTAATAAATATAAATGCATTTAAGAAAAAATTCTGCAAGCATAAAGACTTAACTTACAACCATTAATTTATTTAGGATCCGAACGTTGATAAAAAATTGTTGGCACTCCTACTTCGTTTCCAGAAGATCCCGGATTCAAATCCGCATGTCACAAGGGATCTCAAAAGTAAGTAAATACTAAAATCAATGGAACTGCTATCGGGTTTTAAGAAGTAAATTTTTCGCTGCTGAGGAGTCACTGAACAGAATTCTTCTCTGCTGTGTTTCCAAGAGGATATCGCGTATCTAAGGGATTCGTGGGGGACGACTAACTGCACTCATATTAATTTCTCTGGAACAAATGGAGGACTCAGTATAAAAACGGTCCAACTCACAATATAAAGTTCAGGAATAAACGTCTAAGACAAGAATCCGCAACACAAAGTTTGGTACAACTGTGTGTTTAATACACGCAGCTGAAGCCCCTCAAAAGACAAAGCTGATCTTGGACATACTGCACAATGCACAATAAAACGCTTTAAAGAATAAGTGAACGCTGTCCACTTTCCTCACTCTTGAACTGCACTACACCACGAAGAGTCTGTTCAGAAGAAAAATCAGGTTTCGAATTTTCAACGGGGTTTAATTATTAAGTTTTTTGTTGTAGAAATGTAATGTATGTGATGACTGATTGTTTCGCTGCTCTCGTGAAACATACGTCAATTCGAAGATGGCTGTCTTCTGTTGTGGAGAGAGAAATGGCCTCAAAACGTCGGTGAACTTCTACTAGGCTACACTGCGCATCAACCAGAAGACAGCCATCTTCGTACAAAAGATACAATTACTTCCCACAGATTTAAAAGACTGCAGCAAACTGACCGTATCCATAAGGGACAGGTTTCGATACTCACCAGCTACCCTAAATGATATTTTCATTGTAGGGATAAATCTTAGAAACAGATCGTCATGTCTGTTTATTAAACTCCGTTATTTCAGCTGCCGAAGTTACAGACCTACACACTCTACAACAACCGTCAGATGTATCCTTGTTTCACTGAGCTACAGACTCCCCTCCTCAGCCACGACTCTGCTTCACTTCAGGATAGCTTCTGTTGTTTCAGAGGGCGGCGACAAAGCCCATTCTATTGCCCTGGTAACCGGAGAAGGATAAATTCACTTCAGGTGACGGAAAATGTTGCATTATATAGGCTAACTATTTCTCTTGCCTGCTCATTGACTAAGCATCGTTGCGGGAACCACGTGCTTATCAGCTGCTACCTGAGATTTCCCCAAAGTCAGAACCATGCACGTGCTAGTAAAATAACATAAAACATTCAAGTGTATCTTCGTGAAAAGGACCTCTAGAAACAGGCAAAGACGTCGAATAATTATTGCGCATCATACAAGAAGAATTCGGTTCGGAGACAACACGAAATGTACACATACTCTAACAATTCTGGAGTGTTCGCTCTGTTATTGCCTTAAAAAAATTCATCTTCTTCAAAACAAAAAATTAGGCCAAGAAATTCCTTGTCGATCTCAGCATTGTAACATCTGTAACATATTAACATACTGAAATCCCACTTGGGTTCGTGAGTGAATTGGCCAAAATGTCACGTTAGCAAATCTGTCCTGCTTTCAGACCGCTATTTTAAATAGATCTCTCAGTTAAGGCCAAAGCTGTAATTGTAACTTTGGCTCTGGCCGCGTAGCATTAGCGAATTGCCTTCATTTCCTTTGAGTGATTCCCATTCAGAGTAGAGTTATGGCGAACAGAGCTGTTGTGATTAGGGACTTCAATGCAATTCCCGGATTTCCTCATATGATTTCAGTCCTTTCAGCGCTGTCAACAGCACTGATAATGCCACAGAGCTGCAGTAAATCCCACAGCAAGTTAATCAGACAAATCAATTGGGCAGTCAGCCGATCGGAAAACAATTTCTTGATATACCAATGAGGCAGTCAGCCAACAAACGGAGGATAATAAATAAATAAACAAATACAAATAAAGAATATTCCGTCATCAGGGCGATTCATCTCCCTGATGACGGAGGCAGTATGACCTCTGAAACGTTGGTAAACATCGACCAGACTACACAGCGCAACAACCCAGAAGACAGAAATCTTCATACTCACCGCTGTGAAAACCTCAAATCCTACATTACATAATCTTGTTCTGTTTTGTTTCTTAACTTGTGCTTCTCATTTACGTGTTTCCTACACTGAAATCTTAAAAAGGCTGAACAGATCTAAACACAACTCAAGTACGTGACGCTCAGCAGTACCGAAGTACGTGCGATGTGCTGTTTCCCGTATCGCACGTAAACTTGGGGATGTTTCGTTGCCCTATTTAGATGTACCCTGTATCTTTCTCTGACCTTACCTCTTTGTAAAAGGGAAGTTTCGATTAACTAAAGTGTTTTGGGCTGTAAGACTGTGCCATTCTGGACGACAATTTAGCTGAAGTGTGCAATTTACTTCAGCATTTCTCATCCCGTTTTTTGTCACTCATCACCTATTACAATATCGCCCCCATCTCTTTCCACAGACGCATTGTCGTATTTATGTTTGGTGTCCACGCTTCTTACCAGAACACCGAGTGCCTGCTTCCTCTCGTGTCACATTTATCACTTTCTCGTCTTCAGTCTCCTTCCCCCGTGTCTCAGAACTCTGAGTATTTATCTGCTCTGTTATTTCACTTCGTCCTACCTCTTAAGCCATCACCATTTTCAATTCCCAATTCCCCAGATTTCTTTTCCACTGTTTGCACAATCTTTCCTCTCTTCGTATTCTCTCCCTTCCTCACCGCCCCCTACTATATTATCGTACTTTGTTTTAAATCTTTTTTTCCATGTCCATTCTCGTTGCATTTGGCCTTCCTTCTTTATTTTCATTCTTTTTCTGTTTCATCTTTTTCATCGCCCACGCCCTTTAATCTTTATTCATTCTTCCTTCCTAACTTTCTTCTAACCTCAGTCTTAGTTTTCTCTCTGCTATCCACTTTCCTTCATTTTGTCTCCAAGTCTCTCTCATTTTCCCAACATTCTCCATAATTATTTTCCTCTTCTCTTTAAAGACTGCTTAAATGTTGTATCTCTTGCCTAATCTTCTACCCTCCTCTTCATTCATCAACTTTCATCACTTCTGTTAACTCAACCCCTCTTTCTCTCCTCTGCATTACCACACTAAGTTTTTCTGCCCCTTTTTAGTTTATGCCCGTTTGTCTCCCTTACTTTCGTTCTCTTTCCTTCTTTTACTTCGTCTGCTCTCTTAATTTTTACCGCTATAGTCAGTTTCGCCTTCGTCTCATAACCTACATTTCCTATTCTCTTCTCCCACCTACCTGTCGAGCGTCAGCTCCTCCAGCTGGTTGAGGTCGCAGGCAATGTACTCGAGAGACGCATCAGTTATACGCGGGCACCACGAGAGGTCCAAACTGCGCAGTTTCTGCAGGTTCTCGGCTATCAGCTCCACTCCATCGTCAGTAATCTTGCTGCAGCCCGACAGCGACAAGATAGTCAGGTTCGGCAGTGAGTGAACTGCAACAGAAAGAAATCTTCATTCATTTAACGGAGCCCACGCCAATCTTAAACTACACGTTCTTTGCATAAAATTAGAGAATGTAGCAAAGAGACCACTTGGAAGATCTAGGCGTAGCTGGGATGATAACATTAAAACGGGTGTAATGAAATACGATATAACGGTGTGGACTAGATTCATCTGACTCAGTATAGTTACTCATGACAGGCTCTTGTGAACACGATATAAACATGTAAGTCACATTAAAGATGGGAAATTTCTTGGCTAGATGAGCTTACTTTTGTTTCTCAAGACGGACTCTGCTCTATGAGTTTGAAATATTCAGTGTCATGTACTCTGTAACAATAAGTCTGTATTTGCAACAAACAAATATCAAGGCCGATTAAATAAACAAAATAAGCAAAGAATTCTTTTGAAAAACACGTTTACCCATCGTAGTACATAATATTTCTACCTTTGTGTTACTTTGTTCTGCATGTATCTCGATACAAAGGTGCTTTAAAAGATGGGAAATCAAGCTACATGCAAAGAATAAATTGCGCAGTTACTCAACAAACGCACTGGTTCAGACGGCGTCAAGACAAGATGGCTGGATATAAATGTACATAAAACAAACGAACGTGTACAACAAAGAAGCGCTACCTCTGCACATCAGTAAGTTTCAACGAAAAGGCAACATCAAAGCCTCTGCTTTTATCGTTTAACGAAATGCTTTTCCTAGGTAATAATTTACTACAGACTTCGAATTTCTTCCGATGGAAAGCGACACAAATAATACAGTCTTAGTATTTCTTGAACTCTTTAAATATATTTCTAAACCTAAGCCATCAGTGCAATAAAATATCTACAGACGTAGAGATATGATAAGGAAATAACTTCACGAAATTATTTCATCTTATTGAATGTTTTACAACGTTTAGATGCTGCAATACTTTGTTTAAATGTCGATTTATGAAAAAAAAATCATCACCTTCTTGAACGTAATTTATACAAGATATAGATTCTTGGAACTACTTTCCGTGTTGTTACAGGACCGTAACATTTATACGTAACTGTAAGAGGAAATGAGCCTAACCACTATAGTCGTCTATATGTTAAATATCAAGCAAAAATTGTTTTGACAGGCAGACAACCGTAGTGACAACGCATTAACGCGCCAGTCTCTTGAACTGTGATAGTTGGCATGCTTCACTAATTAACATGGAATCTTAATGGCTGCTGGATAAAATGTCTGAGGTAGGCATGTCTGCTTGGAATCACCTATGTGGCATTTATAAAACACGTTTCATTTAATCGCTTTCAGTGCTGTAGCCAACTATTCATCTGGCAGTGCGCGAGGATGGAAGTTTCAAGGTCTACAGTTCATGACTTGGACAATGAAAATAAGGAGACTAGTCCAGTTAACATGACATTTTTTCTACACGAAATACATAAAAGTAAATAACATATGACAAAAGAAACGAATGAGAACTTCCGAAAAAACTTTCGTACAGACTTACACGTAAATTTAAACTGAAACAGCGGACGGGCGGCCATCATTAATCGTATATTTCAACGCCATATGGTCCGACCTACTGATACCTTCGTTAAATGCAAATAAATAGATGATATTGTCCCATACTCTGTCTCCATACAGCTATAGAAAAAACAAATTCCATTTCACTTGATTCCCAACATCATCTTCTGATTACTCTCGTCTTGCGATTTCCCTCTATTTCCCTGCCATCCACATGTTCGTTATTACATCGCATTGAACGTGATGCAGTAACAGTAGAGTATAGATTACCTTAGGGATCTCTTATTACAGTCTCCATTAGCCAGCGGCTGATATGAAAATAAATTATAAATATTTTTATGTCATAATTATTTCACTATCAAAACTGTAATTTGTCTCAACCGAAACATTGTGAATGGACGAGTAGGCCTAATACACATTAGGTCGACGCTATATAGTATCAGGTACTAATAAAGGGTCGTTAAATAAACTATTAACAAATAAACAAACACAACTTTGGTCATACGACCATATTATGAAATGCACAAAAGTTTCTGTTCGTGAAACCCCGTACAGCAGCGGCAACTTCTCCAGTTTCTGTATATAGCGTGTAGCCTAATCACTCCGTTCCAGGGGAATGCACCTTTTAGTCACGTACGTAGAGAGAAATCTCATGAGAAATTTAGGGGATTGGAACAACTGTGCAAGCTTGGATACAAGATGACATTAAAATGTTATATGGGAACTCAGGTTCATCCAGCCTCGATCCAAGATCTCAGCATCTCTCAACGATCACCAAACGGCGGGAAAAGTACCTTAACGCACATCAAATCAAATATAATTAAAAATTGTGAGTACGTGTACACTCACAAAATATTCTTTTATATCAAGAGAGATTTGAGGTTATCAAGGCGGAAAATATGAAGATGACTGTCTTCTGGGATGTGTAAGCCGTGTAGTTTCGCACGAGTTTACCGACGTTTCAGATGTGCTTGCTGCGTCTATCATCACAGCACTAAGGGCATCTAAAATGTCGGTAAACTTCTACCAGACTACCCGTCGAAAATCCAAAAAACACCGCCATCTTCATACACGCCTCCGTGAGAACCTGAGACCTCATTTTTCGGTAGCTTCATTAAAAGCTCCATGAGGCGAAAATAAAGGAATGTCTTACGTGGAATAGTCGAACTCTGACTTACAACGCACAGTCAAAGCAATCAAGATGTAGTGTTCCTGACCAATGCTGCGGGACACTTAACCTCAAAGTTAGCAGTTGGAACGATCTAAATAAACGATTCAGAGTTCCCTTTTATATGCACACACAAAGAGACACGTACAGTGTAACAGCTGGCGTCTCAAGAAGCAGTGACATGCTGAGTCAGGGATATTTGGCTTGTGGAACCATGCACGACTAATTATAGGGCCTGGACCTTGGACGAAAACCTCACGGTCGCCAAGCAAAGCACGTTACGTACGAAAAATAGAACTGGAGTTTGATATATGTGCACCTGGGATAACTCATGAGTCATCAAACGCGGAAATGAACAAGGAAGTTTAATTGACTCTTAACCGCTGTTGAACCACTGCGGATAACTAAAATACAGACACATGGAAAAGGAATTATCTTTGACAATGCCAGAGGAGAGAATGAGAACTAAAATAAAAGAAAAATTTGAAGGCATATTTGCTTTCCTGGCTATAACGCCATGTTGATCAGTAGGTAGATACCAACATTTTGGAGGAACATACTGTCTCCATTGTCAGGGCTAAAGTTGTTCTTAGTATGTTTCTCCGAAACGTTTCACCTGTAAGTCTACACGGCGTCATAACCCAAAAGACCAACAACAACATATGCAGCGCCGTGAGAACCTCAAATCTCACAAAGAAACTTCCTTTACGAATTAATTGGATTTAACATGATAAATAATAGTAGGATACATTTTATTAGAACCAGACCGCAGTGTAATATTAAACTCGTAAATCTTAAAGTAATGAAGTGTGTACCAGATGCAACTGCTTCATGGTAGGGTCCAATGGCGGGATTCTGTAAATACGACAATGTACCATCGGTTACGTACGAAGTGTGAAATCTATTGACCAGCTGAGCGACTGCCAATCACCTTTTCGAGAAGGACTCTGCCCCACACAATCAGTTACACTCGAAACAACTGGACTAGTGTAAGCCTAACGGGATGGGCTAACATCTATAAATTGTAAGAAATTAAGAATTTGAATTATTGATTCTATTGATTGTATTTGTCATAATGAGAGTTTGAAAAATACGGTAACCTGCTAGCTTGGGGCGGTTTATTTTGCGAGCTGGCGATCAGAAACTCAAAAGAGATATTAAGTGTTTCTGTTAGAGGAAATACTGGTATCGCAACAAAAATTACAGACGCACAATTTAAGTAGTCCTGATGTTTTACATGTCAATTCGCGGAGCTCAGATCTGCGGTATAAACGATGAATAGGCCCAAGCTCTTCAACAAATTTTCAACAAGAAAAATTGATAGAAACTTACCTTGTCTCTGACTGATACACATGCAATTCTGTTCTTTTGCGGGGCAGTTGTGAAACTGTAACTTCAATGTCGACTTTATTCCCCTACCAATGTAGTGCTTCTGTTTGGACAGGACGTGAGAAGCTAGCGTCCACTATCAGAATGGGATCCTCGAGGGAAGTTTAGGTAATCAAAGGTTTTACTACTGTTGACTGAGATTGAGTCCAACTGCTTACACTGTAAAACCCGTGAAACAAGTTTCCTCGTCTTTGTTTAGTTTTAAAAATAAGTCGATTTTACGCCATTTGTTTATGAACTGTAATTATCAAAGTTGATGTCATTAAAATACTCTTTAGTATAACGTAATATTTGTTTCAAAGTAATACACTTTTCAAATTGTCTTGAGAAAAAATAATTATGTAGAAAGTAGCTGCTTTTGCATCCGGAATTTTCATCAACGTTACAAATTTCAAAACGTTTCCCTTGTCTGCCAGAAATTAAAGTTAAATAACAGTATGTTTCAATATTCAATTAGCCTAAATATGATAGACTCGGAAAGATTTAAGCAGGTGGATTATAATATAAGGAAGCCATTCAGCCAAGCCTCAAGACGTTATCGTCTGTCTTTAGTAGCGCCTTCAGAGTTCACATGTAGTTTCCAGAAGTCACTCCTGCATTACGGTAGAACAGTACATTAAAACAGCCGTTAATTTATTTCTGACTTCATCTCCAAATATGTAATCAACGCCGGAAGTTTTAAAAAACAAAAAAAGAATATAAGCAGATTAGTGACGCTTTAAAATTATGACACCAAATATTACTAGGGTGATCAGACGAACGACATGTAGCACGCAAGATGGAGGATTAGTGATTAATAATTTGCAACCATTTCGCCGAAACACGTACGCGATTGCGTCATCGAACGATGACCTTGGAGTCGAGTTAAACTCTGCGTGTTTGGGAATAACAGAATCAATAATAAAGCAGCTCGTGTTTACTTTAGG